CATGTCAAGATCTTTACCCAATTGCAAAAGGAACCCAATAGCGATGGCCTGCACCCCAGTAGCGATGGCCTCCAACCTACAGTAATAGCAATGGCCTCCAACACATGTCAAGATCTTTACCCAATTGCAAAAGAAACCCAATAGCGATGGCCTCCACCGTAGTAAGTAGCGATGGCCTCCAACCTAAGAGCAACGGCCTCCAAGACATGTCAAGAGCTTTACCCAATTGCAAAAGGAACCCAACAGCGATGGCCTCATGGCCTCCAACCTAATAGCAACGGCCTCCAAGACATGTCAAGATCTTTACCTAATTGCAAAAAAGCACCAATAGTGATGGCCTCCACCCTAGTAGCGATGGCGTCCAACCTAGTAGCAAACATGTGTCAAGATATTGACCTAGATGCAAATGGAACCTAATAGCGATGGCCTCCACCCTAGTAGGGATGGCCTCCAACCCAATAGCAATGGCCTCCAACCTACTAGCGATGGCCTCCAACCTACTAGCGATGGCCTCCAACCTAATAGCGATGGCCTCCACCCCAGTAGCCATGGCCTCCACCCCAGTACCAACACATATCAACATCGTTACCTAATTGCAAAAAGACCCAATAGCGATGGCCTGCCTTAGTAGTGGTGGCCTCCACACTAGTAGCTATGGCCTCCAACCTAATAGCGATGGCCTCCAACCTAATAGCGATGGCCTCCAAGACATGTCAAGATCTTTACCTGATTGCAAAAGTGGCCTCCACCCTAGTAGGGATGGCCTCAAACCTTAAATAGCGATTGCAAAAGGACCCTAATAGCCATGGCCTCCAAGACAAATCAAGATCTATACCTAATTGCAAAAGGAACCCAGTAGCGATGACCTCCACACTAGTAGCGATGGCCTCCACCCTTGTAGGGATGGCCTCCAGCCTGATAGCGATGGCCTTCAAGACATGTCAAGATCTTTATATACTTATCTGTACCAGTGGAACAATGACTGCAAACAATGAAGGCACAATATCAACGCGATCGAAGAGGATTGAGGTCATTGTGCCGGCGTTCGATCTTTCGTCCTCGGGGAGGAAGACCATGCTCGATCGAATGGGACTCTGAAAGACGCCACGTGGCACCAAAACAGCTGCAACTGAGGCTGTTCTTATGAACTCGAGCTCACATTCAAAGTTCGGACTGCAAAGCACTAGGACACAAAAAAGGAGAAAGGCCTCTGTGCCTATGGCCGTGTAGGCCTATGCTTCCAGAAAGAGAAATAAATCAAGTCACGCCAATTTGCAATTCTTGGCACGTTCTTCATGCCGGGTAACTTTGCCCAAAGACCCGTGACCCGAAGCCAAGCTGTCTGAACTCGTCAGTCTTCCGCCATGACACTATGACTCACGATGACACTATGCATGACAAGACTTGCCGACAGCTTGAGTTAGGACCATCTAGGAATATGCACAGCTGGGCATTTTGTCGCCAAGCTTGGGACAAAATTCCAAGAGGCTGCCCATGTTTCAAGCAGGTTTCTACGACCTGTTGCTTGGTCCATTCCAGTTCTGTCTGTCCACGACCTACATGTCTGGAAAGGGGTTGTCTTGTGTTGCTTCTCTGGCAATTCAGGTACGGTATGGCACTTTGAAGAGGTCTTGCTGATCAATTTTGAAGTTGCCAACATTGGCACCAAAATGCAGCGAACTACAGGAACCGCAGAAGGGCAATATGGGGCTCTGCCAAAGTAGTCACTTGCAAATGTCAAGAATTCTTGCAAACTCAACAAAGTTCAAGTTGGACGACTGACATCTCCCTTTCACAGCACTTTGCGCTTCCTTTCCAAGAGGCTTACCCCCTGTTCCTTTGCCTCATGTTGATCTTTTTGGCCTTTGCTTCAATTGTACTCAGCTGATCCAGGGTGGCTTTCAACCTCAGGTTTGCAGCACCAGTTATTGCACTTAATCTTTGCACTCTTTTTCTCACTCCATCTCTCAATCTCTCCTCTTCATTCAGCTGTCAGGCCACCTTTGGCTCAATCTTTCCTCCATGTCCTTCAACTCAATCTCAGACCTCACAGAATTCTGGTGCAAAGATAGATAGAAAATAGGAACTACAGTAATAGGAAAGAACAAAAAACTATTATGTCCTTCGATGATTCATATAAATGTGTTGCCTTGAGCGAAAAAAACAAAACAAACGAAACAACGAACTTGAGGTAGCTTAGGTTTGCCAAGAGGCGGCACTTCTGCCAGTCGCTCCCGGAGGATTGGACGAATTCGTCCAAGCTGGACGTCTAGGCCTGAAAGCGTCATCGGCAGTTCAAGCTGATTCCATACCGAACGAGCAGTCCAAGCAGTCCAAGCACAAGGCTTTGCATCTGTTCTGCAATGGCGTGAACCTTGGAATAAAGTTGCAACTAGCTTCAGGAGGTTTGGAAAAGAAAACATACGGAACAAACGGGTCATTGAGTGTCAAGCTTTGCGCAGTGGCATTGCCACAGTGCGTTGCACCTCTTCAACTCTTTTCTTAATGGTGCCAGACCTCAAAAGGTCAAGGCCCATGTCTGAACAGATCTCAAACGATCGGATAAGAACTTCAACAAGAACCAACAAATGTTGAAAGCGGTGCATTGGTTTTGTACTGAGAAGCAAAAAGGAAGGATAATGAGACAAGCAACAGTAGTGTTTCGAGTTACGGAAAAATGGAGTTAGAACATGTTGGAAAGGGTTCCATGGCATTCCGTGGTTTCAAGCCGTGACTTCAACGAATAGACCCAAACCACCCAACAGTCGTTTTCCCGATTCTTCGTGATAGCTTCCTTGCTCCTAGTAGTCAGGCCAGGATCCCCTAGTAGCGTCCTTTGCTCCTAGTAGCGATGCCCTTTGCTCCTAGTAGCTTCTGGCTCCTAGTAGTAAGGCCAGGAGCCCCTAGCAGCGTCCTTTGCTCCTAGTAGCGATGCCCTTTGCTCCTAGTAGCTTC